AAATTTCACGTTGGATTCTACGTTCTTAGACAGAAGCACATTTCTTCATCCTGACATGTTGAGCAGGTAGATCATGTTTTCAGCAGCAGGTGAAAGATTCACGATGCTCCATTAACTCAGGTAAGATGGTGTCTGTTGTTCTCCGGTCTGTTGACATTAAAAGGCCTGGGAAGGTCCATTAAGTAGTTTAATGGCGGCACATCGAAGGAATAAACGGGCTGTGACAAATGAATCGAGGTGCAGAGGTTTCTGGAAAATTAAAGACACTGGCAAATCAATGTTATCACAACAGTGTAGGCCAACTCATTCATCATTGATTTGGTCTACAGCTTGACTAAGGCCAGCTGAAACTTAATGATTGTTATCGACTTATAAATGAAAGTTATTATAAATTTAACTGTTTATGGATTTTAACTATCAGTTTAGTTCTGCGAAATACAAATTGAACCAATATATTGAACTTTGCGTGCTTTGTCAATTTTCTTTGAGGTAAAATGCTTTCATCAAAAAGCCCCTGACATTTTTTTTCCACACTTCAAATCATCTTATCTCACATTTGAAGCAACCAAAACAACCGACATGTTGTGCTCGCATACAATGCCTTGAAATTACGCTCAACAAAAACTGTTTAAGTGGAGTGAAACGCTCCACTATGACTCCAACGACAAGGGCAGAAAGAGCACAGCTTTTCTCTTTTTACACACTTCACCTCCTGAAAGGCAATTTGGAGATAAAGGTTGAAGCTGGAAGCCATGAAAGGCGTCTAACGCTAATCCCGCCTCACCTCGAGTCTGATCGAACTCTGAAAATCATCCGCAAATCTCTTGTTTCTTCCCTAAACCGTAAATACATCCACACAGTTCACACAAACGGAGGGCAGCTTTCTTCTTCTCGCACTGGAAGTTCTCTGAAGCTAAAGATGGTGCCGACAGATGGTGGAAGTTTTTAAAGTTTTGATGACCGATAAGGTTACTTTATTTTGTTTGTTCAGGTTTCTGTGAAGCGCAGAGATGAGGCAAATCCGTGCCGGGATTATCTCCCACTTTCTCACCTTGCACAGGTGTGGAGAGCTGATATGGCCCAAACCCACATGCTCCCGATGCTCCATGGGTAGAAGTGGGACAGCTGTGAGAGGGAAGCCACAGGTTTGTACGGATTATCAGAAACCATTCTCTACTTTCATACAAAGGGCAGAGGAAAATAATTATCGCTTGAGAATATCTCTCCTGTCTGAACTTTAGTTCGTTTTGGATGCACATAGTATATGGGAAAATATTGTTCATACTTCCTTGTTAATCAAATGCAAAACTATCTTTGCAGTAAAATTACTTGCAAAAAAAAAAGTGAAAATGATTTTGTGCTTAAAATGATTTTCCGGATTTAGTCAAAATGAGATAATATGACAGCAGCCAACACAATTCTGTCTGGATTAATCAGTGACACAAACAAATAAAAAAAGACACAAAAAAAATATACCAATAATACTACTATTAATATACAGCTATAAATTCTATAGGTTAAACAGACATGTAGAGGTCAACAGAAAATGCAAAACATGTTTTGATAAACACAAACTGGACACAAAGTGTATTATTTGATACAATATTGGAAAATCATTGGATAAAATTAGTTGTAAGCCTGTAAAAACAAACTTGTAACAGGATACAAACATGCTTTTAGGACTCAAAGCTGATACATGTTAATGTAAAAAGAGAGAAAACACTCCAGAATTTGAATTAAAGGAGTCACGGATAAAAGCACTTTAGACGAAAGTGCCATTGTTCAAAGCCCAATCCGGCACAACAAGCCTGCGAGCTCAGATAAACACAATTTCACTCTAGTCACTGCGATTACCACACCGCTAATCGCTTCATTTTGCCTGTCGCTATTACGGGTAAACAAAAGGTCATAATTTAGTGGAATTAGAATTCAAGAAACGAATCCACTTGAAACTCTTTTGTTCTTAAGAACGCAGAACACTGATAATGCTTTTTAATCCCTAATTAAATTGTTTGGGTATTTAAAAACTTTCAAAAGTCGGTACCACACAATGCTATTTATTGGAAATTAAACACAACTTTCAGGATTATAAGAAAAACCTTTCTCAGTGTCCATTATGTTTGGTGTAATTTGGGAAACACGAAACAAAAGATTGACGAACAAAAATAAACCACGAAGATTGTGACAGTTTTATTTTCGTACAGTACAGCCTGTCCTTTTATTTTTTTCTTCTCATGTGAAAACTCATGCAGCGTTTGAGTCTTTGCTTGGATGCAGCACGAATCCATGCGCAACTCTAGTTCAGACAACAAAGAGCAACCTGAATTGCAGAACACTGTGGCATCATGGGAATTTTCCAGGACAAGTTCTTGTATCGACATAACTAGGTTGAGTTCTAGAGTTTATAATAATTCTAGATCTCCTGCTGAGCAGAGACAAACAAAATCCAACAAAAACAACAAAGGCCCGCTCCTAAATGTTGCTCTCAGTCTTCTGAGAAGTCCACACTTTGGTGATGCAATGCAGCATAGACTGTTGGGTAGAAACCCGCTGTGAAAGTTCACACCAGTGCTTTAAAAAAGTGTGCATTGCGGCTTCAAAACACTTTTCTGAATCATAAACGGTCTTGTGTACTTCATGAACACATGCAAACAAGAACACAAATCCACACAGAATGGCCATTTGGGGAAAGACCAAAGTAACCGATATGAAATCCAAAGCAGTTTTCTGGAATCTGTAACACCGTAATTTAGTATTTACATAATTACAATCATTGAAAAACATCTGATAATCAAATCCCTGTACCACTTTTTTTTTTAAAGACGGTCTCAATCCTCAGTCTCAATCTGAATGATCAAATTTCGGATGATACAGTGATTAGTGTCATTTAGCCAATAAAATAGCTTTGCATTCTTAACATTAAATGAGAAATTGGGTGACAAAATAATCCATTTAAACAGAAAACTAAATTGTTACATTTACAGTTAAGCGGAAACATAGTTTTAGACAAAAACATACACATAGAAATACATTTACAAATAAAATAAAATAAGAATGTTCAGCACTCTAAAAGACGCTGGGTTATTTGATTTTACCTTAATGCTGAGTTGAGCCTGTTGGGTAATTTTGTTCGATTATTTTTAGCTACGCATGGACTGGTTAATCAGATATTGGCCGATATATAATTATCTGAGTTATTAAACATCGCCTGATAATTTAAACAGACAATTTATGTTTTATCAATCGTAAGGGAAGCGGGTAGTTGCAAGGTAATTAATAGCACTTTATTTTCCTAATCGCAGTTTGACTTATTTCATAAAGCACCTTAAGTTAGCTAAATGTGGAAAAGATACTATAGAGAATACAATTATTAATTTGTATTTGAGTTATGTACTGAATATCAGGGTGTTTAAAAAGATGGCAGTACCACCAAACTATAGATATCAGATGTTGTTCTTATTTATCCGACATCGGTGAATACATATTGTATTGCACAATGTTCACAATGTTGTGTATTTTTATGCAACCAAGCTGCTGGGTTATGGCAACCATAATATTGATTGGTTTGTGTGATCAATCTTTCCTGTGGGGAACATCCTTTAAGGTTTGTGAGACAGAAGGGGCTTTCGCACAGGAGGAACCTTTTTATAGTTCCTAGAACTATTGGCGGAAGTACCCACTTTTTGGCGTGTTCGCACCACAGGAACTGGGAAATATTTTAGTTATAGGAACGTCTTTATGGGGAACTAAATCAGCTCCTCCTTCAGAGTAGGGTCTAACCCAGCACAATAGGAACTACCAGTGACGTAAGTACACACTGATTGGCCGAACACATGCGAAACACCAGCACCCGCCATTTAAAAAAAAGCACTATAAACATGGAAAACAGTGATAGATGGACCTCTCAACCTTTATGCTGAGAAAACCCAACGCGACTTTGAGAGGACCAAGTGAAACATAATTATGTATTTCTGCTGAGCTAGTGACATTGGGCATCAACCACACGACAAATCCTAAAACTTTTCAAATATACTGTCTACTTTCTTTGTATTGCAGTTCTATCTAATAATGTATTAGACAGGACTGTTAAACAGATCGTAAACTAATAAAGACAGAATGCGAGCGCTGTGTGCTCAGGCTCTGGCTTTTCTCTGTGCCGTCAAAATAAAAGTCACAACAACAAGCGCGGAGACAAGAGTTCCTACTGGCGGTGCGAATGCAACTGGGAAAATGTCCCTATAGGGGAACATTTCGTTCCCGGGGAACCACCCTGGTGGCTAGTTTCTAGAACTACCTGGTGCGAAAGCCCCTAGAAAAACTTCTTTGGTCTCACATTATACATATTACACACTAATACATATTTGTTTGAAAATGCTTCTTTTTCTCTCCGTTTTGGCCTTCCATCCACATGACGGAGCTTTTTGAAGACGCACTCCCAAGTGGATAAATTTGAAAACGCTGTTTTCGCGCTGTAGTGTCGACTGTAAAAACTGAGGTATTTGAAAACGATGACGCATGTTTAGTCATGTGACGCATATTGTACCCATAGATATCTATGGTTATACCGGCATTGTTGTGCCTGCTATATACTTTCATAGCGTTGCTAAAGAGAAATGTTCCTTTGTACAGTCTTCATACTGCATTCCTACAAAGATGACTGAAAATTTACTCGAAATTGTTGTCCTGCGGCAAAACATAATGACAATTGTGTTTTTGACCAAGCGATTTTGAGTGCAACCTGGACGCAACACTGAGTGGTGGGATATTTTGCTAATAAAATGATTGTGCCAGAAGAATAGCATGATAACTTTATTATGTCTGCTCTCTCTGTATCATTTTGTGAACTTTTAGTTCAGCAGTAAGGTGATTTAAGCATTTTCAGACGTTTCAATGGGGATGAGCAACTTTTGGAAAACGCTAGTGTGGACCGGGAATGAAACTCTTTGAAATGAAAACGTCGTTTTCAAATGTATCCGGATTAATGTAGACGTAGCCATAGTCAATAGAGTTAACTGTGTGGGTTTGTTTAGCGCAACATGTTGTCCACCTTTTACCCAGCGCCAAGTTTCCAGTTGGGTTCTTTTTAAGCCAGCCATTTTTTGAGTGAACATAAACATGTTATTATAGATAAGAAAATGAGCGACTTGCAATAATAACAGAAGCAAAAAAGTGACAACTGTGGAGCTTAGATTAAAACCTTGCATTCCATGTAAATGTACAAAAGATCTTTTGCAGACAATCCCTTTCTCTCGGTTTATCTTAAGGGGTGAGGGAAAACTGGTCTTGTTCGATGGGCTTTTCAACCCACGCTCCCAGTCCCGCTTTGTTGAAAGCTTTGAAGAGAGTTTGTTTAGCTGCGTGATACTCCACTGCCGCTTGTTTTGCCTCGTGGTAGGAGCCCGGACGAGATCCTCGGATCCGCAGAGTCTCACTGAGCTGAGAGAGGTAAATGGATATTGGCATTTTAATATACCAAGTTACCATATTATTTAAAAATGAATCCTTGATTGTTTTGATTTATCCATTATCATCCACCTTTAAAGAAATGCTTTACCTTGGCATGCAGACAGACCCAGCGACTGTAGAGGACATGTTTGCAGAGGTGAGACTGTCTTCCAAGGTCATCTTTCCCCGTGGTAGCGTTAATGATCTCCAACCCCTGATCTCCGACCGTCCAGTTGACGCTGAAGTTGGGAGCTTTCCCAGGTTGCCTTGCTTCTGTGTTACTAATACCTGCAGATGAGAGAAGAAACAAATGTGGTTGGGCAAATAGTTGAAAAACTGATAAAATCAACCATTTATTAATTCGAGATGATTTACCACTAAGAAGGGGTCTGTTAAGGGTGAACGGCTGGGGCAGATCTTCCATGTCTGCGATGCGCTGGTACATGGCTCTGGAAAGATGGTCGGCATGGTACAGACTTCCCAAAATTAAACTGGAAAAATAGATGGGTTCTGAAAAGTAACTCAGAAGAGATCCCTGCACTCCGATCACGTTCCATCTACAAAGGCAGAAAGAAAACCCGGAAATGTTATTGAAAATACAGGTGTGCACCTGGTGAACCTTGTTCATTGATGATGGAAGGAAACGTTAAAGTCTTCGTATGTAAGCGGTTCAAAAAGAGTCACCCCCTGTGGACATACAGCATGATACTTATGTTGCAGAACAAGCCACAAAGGAAAGAAACAACATCCTGATTTCAAGAAAAAGCACTAGCACAGAGACGCATTTACGGCAACCATTGAAATGATCGGAAAAATAACACCTGGGGTCTATAATCTCAATCACTGTAATTTCTTCAAGGCCTTTAAAAGGAGTTTTTTCCAAAGGTGACGCATGAGATCCGAGCTCTCGAAAAGCCTAAGTTCACAGCTGGATGATAACGACCGCGTTTAACTGGAGTGGGATTCTTGGCATCCAACATGAGGCATGCGGATGTGTTCACGGCAGCAGGCTTCCCTCAGCAGGACGGCTGTTTTTTGGAGGCCATAATCAGAGTCCTAATCAGGGTCCAAATGCCCCTGCTCCAGGGAGCCCCCCGCTCTGGAGAGAGCTGAAGTGATTGGGGTTTCAGAGCCAAGAAGACAGCCAATCAGCTGCTTTCTGAGTGCCGCTGGATGCATGCGACAGAATGCTAACGAGATGGACTCATTAAAGGTTGAGCGCAACAGGAAAAAAGTGAGACTGTCATTGGAAGAGTTCGACATTGAATGGATCAAGGATAGGTGTCGACACAAAAGTGGGCCACCTGATGTCAGCAGCTTTTTTCTCTCTCAATATGAATCATCAACTGAAGCTTCAGCCGTGTTTTACATAGAAAAAGTTGTCTAAACTGTGCATACTTCAAAGATAGAAATCAAAAAGAAACGGTTTTAGCTAAAACATGAAAAGGACAAATCAAATAGATTTGCTAAATAAAATAAACCCCCACTGAAGTTCATAACTATTGCAAAGACAAACTTTTAATTTGCATAATTATAATATTTGAAATATATATATTTAAATGAATCAATGCACATTATTTCACATAAAACATTATATATATATATTAGTGCTGTCAAACGATAAAAAAATTTAATTGCGATTAATCGCATTAATGTCATAGTTAACTCGCGATTAATCGCAATTAATCGCACATTTTTTAATTTTGTCATTTTATCTCTTGATTTCTTTTTGTCCCATTATTTTTTCTCATTTTAATGCTCTTATCAACATGGAAAAGTGGATCGGCTTGCTTTGTGCAAATGTTTTTTATTGAAAACAACATTGACAATACTGTGTTCAATTTCACACTAACATTCTCACTTGGAGCAAATAATCTCTCACACAATATAACACTGTCCATCAATAAAAGGGTGAAAGAAATACTGACGAGGTACTGATATTGACGAGGGGGCGGAGAATTCGCATCAGCTGTGTGTGTGTGTGTGTGTTAGTGTGTGTCCTTGGCCATCAAGTGCTAATTCAGACTGGATGTGCTGCGATGATGATAGCTCAGTTCACAACGACAAAACACACAGATCACTTTGGTCTCGTCAATGGAACCATTTGGCAACTTTTTAAAAGTAAACTTTCCATTCAGAATCTTATTGGCATCCATTTCGGCGTCTCGCGCTCGTCATCCACTCAAAACGAAAAGTTAACCTCAAGGAAATACCTCGCAAGCCGTGCCTGTTGTTTTGTTTCCAGTCTAGCTAGATCCGCTTGCGCTTTCAAAACGTCCTCGCGCGGCGCAACCCATTGAAATGAATGGGTTTTGTAGCGCCGCGCATGCCGCGTCCTGTTGCGAAAGCATGTGAAAAAAAAAAACTACAAAGTTTGCTAGGCCAAAAAGACCGCTAATCGCGCGATAAAAAAATTAACGCCGTTAAAATGGGTTTGCGTTACTGCCGTTAATAACGCGTTTAAATAACAGCCCTAATATATATATATATATATATACACACATACACACATTTATTTTTCAATCCCACCCCTTTAAACACACAATTCAAACATGTCCTGGTGGATAAAAACAAGTCCCACTTTTCCACTTGTGTATTATGGAATATTGCAGTATTTATTATAAATTAATCTGTGCACATCATCAAATCACAACCATCCAGTCAATTTCAAGACTTTGCCAAGCTGTTTCATTCGGATATAGGTCAAAATAAGGAAGAAAAATCACCACTTCTGTTTTATGCTGACTTAGAATAAATTAATTTAAGAGAAGCAATTGAGAACACATATTTTGTATTAAAACAATGTTAATGGTTCGCAGTTCTACTTAATTTCGCTATTGATGGCACCATACCTTGCAATCTTGTCGCTACATGACATAGTTAGCAGTCGCTCTCCTTGCAAGACTCCATCCCAGGTCTGAATGGTGTTAGTCGTACGAACGGGTATCGTACCTTCTCCAGACTCAATCTTGGTTCGCAATTGTCCACGTGCCTTGCGGTTTGGATGCCGATCACCCTGGTCTACAAAGAAAGAGAATAGAGTTTAGTTTACTACTTTTTAAAAGCCCGTCCTTATTTTAGTGCAACAACAAAATGTGGGAATCCATCCATCCGTCATAAAAAAAAAAACCTTCGGCAGCAGCCTCATGAGGGGAGAAAATCCGGGCGTCTCCACAGGGCGACGTGCTAATATACAGATGGAACTGAATATCGTTTTTTAGCCGGTAGCCATGTTCACTGCACCATCTGAATATGGATTTCTCATGTTCTTCAGTGCTGTCGCTATAGAGAAAACACACACACACACACACACACTTGTGTGATCTATGATGTCAACAGAGGCCATTAAAAGGGCTTTGAAATGTCTATAATTGAAAATAGGTCCTTGGCCCGACACCCATCTCATCAAATCTGTCATTTATTATTTCACAGTGAATAAAAGGTCATGTCTAATTGATTACACACACATAAAATAATTTTGCACATCCACAGGCTAGTGTGAATGATGTTAATACTTAATGATTACAAAATAAATCATTATTAGACAGTTTTGCAAGCACCCAAAAATTATCTTATAATATAATTTATGTATTTATTAATTATGTATTTATACATTTTTTACCACATTAAATTAACATTAAACTGACAACGTTACATAACAGCATGCAAATGTATATATTTGCATGCTTTTATGTATATAAATATATATATATATATATATATTGCAAATGTATATATATATATACACTACCGTTCAAAAGTTTGGGGTCGGTACGGTTTTAAATACTTTAAAAAGAATTCTCTTCTGCTAACCATGGCTGCGCTTATTTGATTAAAAATACAACAAAAATCAGTTATAGTATTAAATATTATTCCAGTGTAAATCAGCTGTTTTCTGTGTGAATATATAGTAAAGTGTAATTTATTCCTGTGATCAAAGCTGAATTTTCAGCATCACCAGTGTCAGTGTCTTCAGTGTCAAATGATCCTTCACAAATCAGTATAATATGAGGATTTGATGCTCAAGAAACATTTATTATTATTATCAATGTTGAAACAGTTGTTGGTCTGTCAGTTGTACAGTTTTTTTTGTTTTGTTTTTTAGGATTCTTTGATGAATAGGAAGTTCAAAAGACTTTTGTAACATTATAAATGTCTTTACTGTCACTTTCGATCAAATTAATTATTCCTTGATAAATAAAAGTATTGATTTCTTTCCTCCAAAAAATAAAAATAAAATTCTCACTGACCCCAAACTTTTGAACGGTAGTGTATATACACACACTTATATTTTATTTATTTATAAAACATTCATTCAATAAAAATACATTATTGCATTTTATAAGACAGAAGAGTGTGTGCGTGCGTCACCTGAGGAAGTATTCCAGCTGACTGTACAGGTATCTGAGGAGGGATCGGCGTGCGATGATCTCAGCATGGCAGTCGTTAAGAGCTAGTCCTCGATCACTCATGTACTCTCCGTTTATACACTTGGTTCCCGTGGTGACACAAATCACCTGAGCATCCTTCACATCCGTACCTGATAAAATGTTCGACGGGAATTAGCCAAAGAGAACATGTTTCTAGATCAACGTTCCTATCAGAAGTGTGCATTGTGCTTACCGGTTGTCATGACAACACCTGAAAGGACTTTCCGCCGTGCATGTGGAGACGTGAAGTTGTCTGTCAGCTCGCTAAACTTTTCCACAACTAAACGAGAGACGGCGTCTGCGAGGACCTGTGGAACCCACAACCGTAACTGTAGAAACATCTCTATCAAAATGTACAACGTATTTCTGTAAATTCCAAATTCTAAATACATGAAGTTGTTACTTTTAAACGGAGCACGTTCCATTTCAAAATGGCTGACAAAACGTGTCTTTAATGCTCGATCTCAAAAGAAATGAATTGCTTGACTGACAGACTTTTGCTGAAAGATCTCTTTAGACAGAAAGGTGAGAGTGATGCGTTTTCTTGTTTGAGAAGTGCTCCTGTCTCTGATTTTAATTAAGATTCTGTTTATTCTCTTCGGTTGTTATCAAGGGGGAATGGGAGGGATTGTGAACAGGATTAGCTAATGTGTAAATAATGCTGTGTACACTGGCGCACCGATTAAAGGTTTAATGCTTGACTTCATCTGAAATCCAACTGAAACGTTCGTGTGTAGATTCTGATTTAATTAAAATTGTTAAATGAAGACTGGCAGAAGCTTTATAAAGGACAAATGATGGTTAAGCAAAGCTACCCAAGCATAGCATTTAATCGCATTAAAATTGCTTTTTCAATATCAAGCTTGATAAAATGCATGACAGAGGTCCAATGTATGTGGTCTTATAGAAATGAACTGAATTCATTTATGGCGTAGTCAGTTATGTGCATCGTAGTCTTAGCCCATTATATGAGGTAGTTTTGACAGGTCATTTTGATATGGTAATATTTAAAAACAAATCGTAGACAATAAATGAAAAAGTTATTTCAGAAGAGTGACGACTGTATTTAGCTGGTGTGTGTTGGTCATGTCAAAGGGGAAAGTACTGTAAATAACAACCCCTTATAAAAAAGAAAAACGGGGTACACAGTTCTCACCTGAGGCAGGTGTAGCTGAAGTCCCTCTCTGGGGATTGGCTGTCGAGATGGCGTCTGGTCCAGTTGCATGTTAAAGAGACCTGACAATGCCGCTTGGGCTGCCCTCGATTTCGCCAGTTTTTTATTCCGGCCGGAACCTTGGAACATCTGCGTATCCACAGTAACTGCCATTATGAAGTTCTTGGCATGGCTTTCACCGCTCTCAGCCACGAACTCATACTTCAGTCCCGGCCGAAGCTCATTTAGAATCATCACAGCATTCTTGCCACTGCCTGTAGGGGGCGTTGTGAGTGCAGGGGGTAATGGGAGAGGAGGATGTAACCTGTTGTTGTTTTTCAGAGTCACATAGAGAGGGTATTTGTTTAGAGAGCAGAGAGACCCATTGCTGCCGAGACTCAGGTAGAAGGGTTCATCAGGCTTTGCTGGCGTCTCAAAACCGTTAAAAAGCATGTCCGGGAAATCAGCTTGATCTGAGGTGAAGTCTGCGTTAACGGTCAGCGTGCGACCCATCGCGAGATGAGCTTCGGATGCATTGGGGAACTGAACAAAAGAGCGCAGCGCTTTTTCGGCTGCATTCAGTTTGGCTTTCTTCTTTGTTGGGCCGGAGCCCTCAAACAATTGTCCGTTAACCTCGACGGTCATAACGAACACGGGTGCATGTACCGGCCCTGTCTGTGACAGAAGTTTATACTGCAGTCCCGGTTTGATTTCATTCAGTTGCATGAGAGCATTTTTCGGCAAGACCGGCCCTTGCGGTTTCCTGCGCTTCTTGGGGCGGAATTTGGAGTGTCCGTGGCCTTTATTGCCCTCCTCCAGTGGGCGTTTCCTGCTCAATCCCCGAGTGCTCCCATTGGCTACGTGAGGCCCCTCCCCCAGCGCTTCCTTGGAGGAGAGGTTGTCCAGGTTGCGGTTTTCTTTAACGTCCATGCTACACGAACCTGTGATGTCCAGAGAGAGTAACTTACAATGCCTTCGGTGCAGGACCTTGTAAATGTAAAATTTAGAGATTCTATCATCTTTCTTTGTAACTGGATGGAAATGATACAATCGTAAAAGTCAAGACAATATTAATATGGCTTTAAAAATATTAATATTGCTTTAGAAGCATTTTTAACTACAGATGGAGAGCTAATTACCTTTTTAATATGACAATAAATACATTTGTAGATCATACTTAAAGCACACTAAAAACTCTAGATATTTACACAATTTCCAAAAGAAAATGTGATAAATATCTATATAATATGTTACAGGAAAGAAGCAAAACTACCTAAACAAGTAACATCAAACCAACCAGTTGCCAAAGCTGATGGAAATGAGGGTAAATTCTCATTTATAACATCCTGCAGTAAAAGCACAAGTTACTCCATTTGGTGCTCAGGAAAAATAAATGTATAGAGAGAGAAAACAGAGACAAGAAACTACTGAAATACACAGTGCTAACAGAAGGTCAGTATTAGATGTCAGTGTAATGACCAAATTTCTGATTAGTGATGTGCATTCTGTGGTGATGCGAGCCTCAGATGCACTGGGAAACTTTAGGATACTTACGTAACCCCGGTTCTCTGATAACATGAGAGAGGTATCTCACTATGGGAACGCCTCTGAGCGTGACAGATCTGGAAGTACCAATCACACCACGTCTGTCAGTTGACAGACCAATCACGACAGTGATGCGGGAGTCCCACCTCCCTCATATAAACCACTGCCAGTGGTCCCTACTTCATTCTCTGCATATCTCTTCTCCGTGCACTGCAAGGAGGGACGTGTGGTGAGATACCTCACTCATGTTATCAGAGAACCGGGGTTACGTAAGTAACCTAAAGTTCTCTTTCAAACATTCGCTCGGTATCTCACTATGGGATATAGACAACTCCCGTATTGCAGATATGCTTCCCTGAAGCAGGCATGTCAACCAACTCAGTGATGTATGCGACATAACACTCCATAATGAGTGTGTGTGTGTGTTTTTTTTTTTGTTTTTTTTTACACACTTAAGACGGAATGAGCCAGTGATGGCTCAGTGACATCCATTCTATAAAATCGGACAAAAGTGTGAGGCGAAGCCCAGCTTGCTGCTGCACATATGTCCTGAACTGAAACGCCCTTAAACAGTGCCCATGAGGTAGCCAAACCTCTGGTAGAATGAGCCTTCAGCCCTTCCGGAGGACAGAGACCCATGCCATTATAACCTAATATAATAGCTTCCACTACCCAGTGGGACAGGCGCTGACGCGAAATAGGTTTCCCTTTATGAGAATCAGCCCATGAAACAAATAACTGATTACTCTTCCTTAGTGCTTTCGTTCTGTCCACATAATGACGCAACGCACGGACAGGGCACAAGCAATGAAGCCGCGCATCCTCTGACGAGGAAAAAGGCTGCGGATGGAAAGCCAGTAAATCCACCTGTTTACAGGCGAGAGCTGACTCGCTAACTTTAGGCACAAACGCTGGATTCGTTTTGAGAGTTACTCTCGACTAATCCATAACGAACTGCATACAAGAGTTATGAACCGATAGCGCGTGAAGTTCACTAACCCGCTTTGCGGTCGAAAGAGCCAATAATAAAGCAGCCTTTAGCGAAAGGAGCTTTAATTCAACACTCTCTATTGGCTCAAAAGGGGGCTGAGATAGTGCGTTAAGGACCACAGGCAGATCCCACGGCGGAATCAATGGCTTTGAAACCCTGTTCAAACGTCGCGCACCTCTCATAAACCTGCATACAAGCGGGTGTTGACCTATAGTGTTTCTGTCAACCCCCACATGACACGCCGAAATTGCGGCAAGATAAACCTTAACAGTTGAAAAGGCTCTGCCCTTATCCAAAAGTTCCTGCAGAAAACATAACACATCCGCCACAGAACAGAGAAAAGGAACAATGTGTTTTTGTGCGCACCATCGTTCAAACACAGTCCATTTCCGATCATATGCAGAGCGCGTCGAAGCCGCTCGTGCATTCTGAATTGTTTCAATCACACCCGGAGGCAAACCCGTCACTCTCAAGTTTAACCTCTCACGGGCCAGGCCCAAAGAGGCCCTAGAAGACGTAAACAGAGTCTGAATGGAACTCTGTTTCCTTTCTGAAAAAGGGATAAACAGCCGCGAATTGACCTGATGCGCTCTTCGGACAGAAAAGCTTGATAAAGGTCCGAGTTCAGTCTGAGACCCAGGTAAATTATCTCTTGTGTAGGCACCAAGCAGCTTTTTGTTTCGTTTATCTTGAAACCTAAGCTCTCCAAATGAGACACAAGCATTTGTGTCTCTCTCTCTGCCTGTTGCCATGACGGCGCGCACAGCAGCAGATCGTCCAAATATGCTGACACTCTTAGACCCATTATTCTCAGCGGTGTGAGCGCTGCTTCCACACATTTGCTGAAAACCCTGGGAGCCAGACACAAACCGAACGGGACTGTCAAAAACTCGTAGGCTGTGTCTCGATAGGCAAATCTGAGGAATTTTCTGTGCGCCGGGTAGATGCTTATGTGAAAATATGCATCTTTCAGATCGACTGACGTAAGCCAGTCCTTGGGACGAATAATTTGAGATAACGTTTTTAAGGACAACATTTTGAATCTGTATTTTCTGAGGTGTTTGTTGAGGTTCCGTAAATCCAGAATAGGACGGAGACCCCCCCCCTCTCTTGGGAATGACAAAGTACCGGGAGTAAAAACCTAGATGGCTGTTCTCCGGCGGCACAACTCGAATAGCTCTTTTGTTCAATAAAGAGGTTATTTCTTCCTCCATAATCTGAGCTGACTCCCCTTCTGCTGTTGACATTAACACACTGTTGAAAAGTGGAGGTTTTACAGCAAATTGCAGACGATAACCCCGGCTTATTGTGGATAAAACCCAGGGGTGTACTGCGCATGCGCGCCAGCTCTCTGCGTGAGCAGAGAGCGGGCCGCAGCAGCTCTCGTCCACTAGTGACGCAGCGGCGCCATCTAGCGGTGGAGCTGGGTACTGCAGCTCTGATTTGGAATTTTTTGTTTTTGTGTGTGTTTTTATTTTCAAACATTGCTGTGCCCTCGGCCCACTGCCTGGATGCACAGGGAACGTGTTTATTATTTTCACAGCACACATATCTTTCAGAAAACAGCCCTCTGCCCTCTGTTTTAACCCCGTGGGTGGAGGGAGGGAAACTTTTCTGTGAGGCACTGGGGGAACTGGTGCTTTTCTGTGAGGCACTGGGAAAACTGGTGCAAACTTCACAACTGAACCGGTCATAGGGTAACTTTTTTCTTTGAACAATTCCCGTGTCCGACGCCTTCTCTTGGCGGGAGGGGGAGAAAATGACCGCTCTCTTTGAGGGAGGATAACAACAGATACTCCGTGAGTGCTGTTGCTCATCCCTTCTTTCTGAACCTGATATAATATTAGGTTGCTCGCCGTTTCTTCCCTCCCTGAGGGTTTGCTGGTCGGTGTCTGGCTGCAGCCGCTGCAAAGGAAGGTTTTCCCCTCGGCTGAGCTGACTTAGACTGTGGCTCAGTCTGGTGAGGCTGAGAAGGTCTAGGGCCTCTGAAGTCTGACCGACCTCTCTGCTGGGGGGCATCAAACCTGGATCGTGGTGGTTGAGAAACCTTAACGGTGGATCTGCGAGGGAGGCAGGTTTGGAAAGCCTCACCCTCTTGTTTCTTTTGATCACACCTTTGTCGCATAGCAGTGACCGATGCCCCGAAAAGAGCTTTGGGCTCAACCGGAGCATCCAAGAAGTCAGCCTTCTCTCTGTCTGACAGCCCTGACAGCCCCAGCCAGAGAGCTCGCTCGCCGACCACTGCTAGGCCCATGCTGCGGCCACAGCTCTGGACCGGACCTCTGGAAGTTCTCAGGTTCAGATCTGCAATAACGCAAATCTCCTCCCAGAGGGCTGGGTTTGGTGTCCCAGCATCCATTTGCCTCCCCATCTCTTCCATAAGCTCTGCTTGATAAGCAGTGAGGAGAGAGGTGGCATTAAGAGCCCTCACTGCCAGTGCAGAAGAGCGATAAATCTTCTGAAACACTGAGGCTGTTAGACGCTCAGTGCGTCCTGGCAGTGAAGCTGAAGCCGAGGAAAAGGCTGCCCTGCGGTTAGGGTGGAGATGATGTGCCACTGACAGCTCGACAGGAGGGGAATTTGACATCCCTAACTCCTCCATTTTATCCACATCCAGCCTAGAAAATCCCTTTACAGGAACCCTGTGTGAAAAGGGCTTATCCCAGAAACGTTTCATTTCTGAAACGCACGCGGGGACCGCTGGAATGAGCTGTTTAGCTGGTAGGGCACGTGCCGGCAGTCTCTTGCCGTCATAGAGATCTCTCTCCGTCCCCTGGCCCGTCTGCTGCGACGGCCAGTCTATGGAGAGTTTCGCCGCCGCCCTCCGGCACATTTCCAGTAGGTCGAGCTCCCCCTGAGCCGGGGAGGGTGAACCTTCGCTTAACGCGCTGCCTGGCCGGGAGGGATTCGGCGGGAGGATTGCATCGTCGTCATCCTCCTCACCATCGTCCTCCAACAGACGATCGATGGCCTCGTCGTCCTCATCGTCCTCCTCTCTTACATCCGTAAAGGATCCAAAAAGGGGAGGTAGTTGGGGGGAGACCTCGTCCATAAATTCGCCCCAGCTGCATGACGCAGGGGGCTTTTTAGCCTCCTCCGCGGGCGGCGGAGAGAAGCAGGGATCTCCCTTGTTAGTGGCCGCGACTCGCACTCTTCTCTCTAGCACCCTCGACGGGAAGAGAGAACAGTGAGGACAGCCCTCGGGGTTAGCGAGGGCTGCCTGAGCGTGTCTAACCCCCAGGCATGCGATGCACAAAGGATGAAGATCCTTGCCTGAAATCATCGAACCGCACGCACACGGACGTGAAGTTTCTGCTTTCGGACCGCCGCTTGCAGAACTTGCAGTTGCCATAATAATAATAACCGTATCCAAGCTCACCACAACGTGTAACTCAGAAGAAAGGAATATCCAAGAGAATTCGCCCTAACACGTTAATTCTCGTGGTATACCAGACTCAAATAAAAAATCACCGTTACAGTGGTAAAAGACCTGCTAACAAAAAATAGCTGCGTTCGGTGACGTACCTCGACGGCTCGTCTTAGAACAGTTAAACAACTATTTTGAAGACAGGTCCAACTGAAGGAAAGCTTCCAATTTTGATCTTCACGGGGAAGAGATCGAAGAATGAAGTAGGGACCACTGGCAGTGGTTTATATGAGGGAGGTGGGACTCCCGCATCACTGTCGTGATTGGTCTGTCAACTGACAGACGTGGTGTGATTGGTACTTCCAGATCTGTCACGCTCAGAGGCGTTCCCATAGTGAGATACCGAGCGAATGTTTGAAAGAGAACTGTAAAGAGTGCAAGCATTTTCCGCTGCATTTATCTTGGCTTTCTTCTGCATTGGGTCTGGACCACCTCATCAAGTTGCGTCACAGAATGTTTAGGCCAGACCAAAACTTTCCAGGCTCTTGGAAAGTGGAGTGGACATGACTTTGGTTGTTCCTGGAATCTTTGGTGGAGGACGTACACAGGTAGCTACACAAACCTGTGATGTCCAGAGAGTGAGCAACTTCGGTGCAAGAACTTCAAAAGATTTATTCATCTCCCTGTAACTCGATTTAAATGTTGTTATCTTCTAAAAATCAATGGCAAACAACACTAACAATTATGCAGGTAAATGTTTTACATAATATTACACAATCAGGTCATATCATGAAAAATCAAGTTCAATCTACTATTAAGGCATTTTTGCTCACTCTGCAACTATTAAATGCATGACCGCCCACGATTACGTCAATGCAAATTTAGTATTCAAAAACTTGACCAGAAGGATAGTGAGGAACCGCAAGCTACAAAAATATATATATATATAAATCGCAACCAGTTATCATGCGGACATAAGCATAAACTTAAAACATCCTGCAGTACAATACTACTCGGGTGCTTAGGACAAATATAATGTGAATAAAAGACAAAAGAAAGAGAAAATGCTGCCTTAAGGTTTAGACTATTGAGATCAATCTAAGGAGTATCCCTTTCTCACTACCATAAAGACCCATTAGAGCATAGGTCTTCAACCCTGCTCCTGGAGGCCCATTGTGCTACAGAGTTTTACTCCAACCCTAATCAAACACACCTGAACCAGCTAGTCAAGCTCTTCAGGATCGCTGGAAAATCACAGACTGAAGCAGGTTTGATATAAACTCTGCAGGGCAGTGTGCCTCCAGGAGTAGGGTTGAAGACCTCTGCATTAGAAGACAAAAAGCTGTGTTTGCTGTGGCTCTGGCCACTCTCCACCAAAAGTTTGCACTTTAGTTTGATCTGAGACAACAGTTTGTACTTCGGTCCTCATCTCATCTCGTTCAGTTGCACAACGGCAAGACTGGCTCTTGTGTTTACCTGTGCTTCTTGAGCATCATTGTCGAACAATCCTGGCCGTGGTTGTTTCTAGTCTAATCCCCATGGATCCTATAAACAAACCTATGATGTCCAGAGAAAGTAACTTTGCCTTTTGATTCAGGAGCTTATAATGTTAAATCAGTGTCAGAAAGAGACTGACAGAGATCTACTGGAAGGGTTGAGGGTAGAAACGTATAGAAATCAATGGTAAATCTTAAGGTGCAATCCCATCTCCTTACCTTGAAGACCCTATTCGTAAACATTTAGTGCAATAAACAAGCTCAAAACAAACAGCACATGGAGACCATGGATGAATCTTCAAACAAAACAGTTTAAACACAACCAATAACCCAAAATAATGCTTCAAAACTCCACACAGGTATTCTGTTGGTAACTTGTCCTCCTGGGCACGGTGTTAACTTCCTGACCATGCCCCCTACAGACAGTGAACTAGTGCACAGTACCCTCAAATAGGGCTGGGCGATATGGCCAAAAAAATTATCACGATAATTTTTTTATATCAGTCGATATCGATAATTATCACGATAAATGTCAAATCTTTATTTCTTTCAAGTTTAATGGCAGATTTTTGCTCCTAAGTGAAAGTTGTAGAAACCAGTGTGTTAATTGTGGTTTTAAACTACTCTTTATTGTCAGAACATATCATGACAAACACTTGCCAAACATATATTTCTTAGTTTCTGCATGTGCTAAAGGGGGATATTGTTTCAAGTCTTGAAACAGGTTTGTGTTGCCTGACTTTGATGGCACGTATCTTCAGCACAGTTTGCAGTGCAGGCTGCAATATTAATATTACATGTTTTATCTCGAAATGCATATTTAACAGTGAGTTGACAGTAAATCTGCATCCTTACTCAAGCTAATACTATGTTAAATTTATGTTCATTAACAAAAACAGTAACATCTGTTAAAAAAAATTTAACAACCACATTTTTATTTGGTAAAATGTAATAATCTGTCTGTTTGAGTTTTATTAAAATTAACCATTGGTTACCCAGTATAATGCATTTAGATCATGATAACCACAGATAAAACCAGGCATAGACTATAGCACCTCACTATCATGGCAAAATTTAACTTTGTTTTTTTATGGTATTTGTATGAAAAACAGTAGCCTAAATACATGATTAAATACTGTAATTATATTCCATTAGTCCTTTAAATACATTGTCTACATTAATAATAATATAATACAATTCAATATGTATATCCAACATTTCATAGTGCAGCTAATATTACTAGGCTAACGTTACAGTAAATCCATGGTAAATGGATGCAGTATCAATTCAGATTGTCTGTATCGTTGCGAACAGTGTTTCTCCTGTTTGTCAGCGCTATCATCTGCCTTTAAACTGGTTTAAATCATAAATCACCGAGTCATTTGTGTTCTTCGCTGAATTCAAGCGCTTCTCACTGGATCTCGTGAGCGAGACAAAACGCGTCTGCTCTAGTGAGCTCGAGCTGCCGTTTGGACTTTGAGCCGAGCGGATAAACGGTCCTTGAGGCGCGCGCGGTTCAAATGAGTTTTGTTCCGCTTTTGGCGCATAAACATTATTGAACATTTATCGACCTCTTGATATCGTTTTATCGAGAAAAATTATATCGCGATAATTATCGTTATCGTTTTATCGCCCAGCCCTACCCTCAAAGACAACAATCAAGTGGAAAATACGTAACAGGATCTCACTGATAGAGCGGAAAACCAGCAGAAGAGAGCAGAATTCAAGGGCTGTCACTATTCGTGTACATCCGCTATTCTGTACATCCGCTGTTCTGAAATGCCTGAGCAAAGTCTGTCGTCAAAGTGGTTCAGTATAATTACCTCCCAGAACTGTCTCACACGACTGCGTTCCCAAACAGCAGGCATCCGCCTACGAAAGCATGATAACTTTATTGCGTTTCGTCTGTGTGGTCTGAGGTGGCAGTAATTTAGGGGAATTGCCAGTTTTACAGGAAATGACGATTTTATTCTCTTCGGCTCACTAGATGGAAACGGTGCTTTATTCGCTAATGTATTATGCGATATTCCAATTTTGCGCACAAGTTAAATTCGTAACTTTGGATAGAAAAATGGCTATTGACAAATATATTATTTTGTAAAATGTGTTGTCAGCACCGACGTTCCTACACGCGCGCGGGGGGGGGGGGGATTTGTGATTATCGTAATACCTTGTTGTCCCAGTTTTTCCCCAAAATATAAAGTATAGCAATACTATATATGACTGTTCACTCATTTCCCACATAAGCACCAAGTCTCAATGCACATGGAAAATTTGTGGTAACTGCTAAGCCACAGCCTTAACAAGAACTGATGAACGAAAATATACCATGCTGAACTTTTAGAGACAGGAACAATTAGAGACAGGAACATTTAAATAGGTCTTGAGGATACTCCTTCCCATCTTCCACTTAAAAACAAATGCAGTTTGTGCCAAAAATATTGGCGCCCTTTGTTTGCAACTCTTTTAATTACGCAAAATCAGAACATTGTTGAAACTGAAACATCTTTCCACATAAGAGAATTTATCCACATATAAATTTCCAGATAGATGGAGATAGATAAGGAAAAATGACAGAACACTCACTTATGCGTTTCTCCTCATCCACATCCAGACTGCAGAACTTCTGCTGGCCCCTGGGCCGCCCACTGGCTCCTATAACAGAGAATCGAAGGGAAGGACATTTAAAATTCATCTCTGATCATGATTTCTGCTTACTGAAGTCATCTGTTCCCACTTACACCCTCCGCCTGCTCCCTTAATGAGGCTAATTAACCGGCTTTAATGACGGGAGACATCTAATGTGCAGGTGCAATTATTGCCCAATTAAATGCTAACATTCCCCTAATGAATCAGGGAAAGAGACACTTTGAGAAAACAGTCACTTATAGCACTCGAGCTGAGGCAAGGAACAAGTTCTGAAGAATTAGACGTCTGTTGGGGAGGAACAGTTCACCGTTTATTGGATATAATACTTGAACATGCTTTAAAAACCGAGGTCATACCGGTTAGGAGCAACATCAATGAGGAAAAAAAAAGAATAGCAGAAGACATTTTACAATCACTTTTCTCTCATTCTCAAGCTTCGCCACATCTCTGTAGCAACATTTATGAAATCTTTTGAAACAAATATTGGCAGAAACAAAATAACCGAATCCAAAGGCAGGGAGATATGAAAGTGTCTGTGCGGATTGGCTTGAATGAGGATACGGCAGTCAGTATGAGTCTTTGAAGGGGCTGAGTGAAGTGGATACAGTCGATAAGAGACTCTGTGATAAACAAGCCCGAGAAGCTCGATAAATCATGAAAGCTATTAAAGCGAGTGACGTGTGCAGGCACTTCAACAGAAGCTTTTTAAAGCCGATATACCGACACTCAAGACATAAACACCATTTTATTTCCTGTCATCTCAAGTTTTCAATCTTTCTGAAATGTCCCATTTGATGCCGGACTGAGCTGAGAAAATGTTTTAGGTGAACAAACGCGAAATCAAAAGACCTTCCTCTTAGGAACCATTATGCATGCAAGAACTGGAATATAAAGTGTCGGGAGTTGGATAAAATCACATATTCTGAATGCGAAATTGGTCCACATTTCACTCTGAGATAAGTGCACCTGCTTGTTGATGGCGACCACCGATTGATGTTGACGAACGGTAAAATGCCATAAAAGAAGGGTTAGCTGTGGCAAGCCCGTGGAATAATAGGAAGCATTTCTCACAGTGTGACGCCTGGCACATTAGTGGTGTCGCTGAATTAGCCGACATCACTCACCATTCAACATCTGTTTTAATCTTGTTTTAATCTTATAATTATCGTGTCTTTTACCACAATTTTTCTTCTCGCTTTCAGTCAAATTGGAGTCAAACTGTATGCAGTGATCTCTAAACTGGCTTGTGACTCTGAAACTGAACTTTAGACTTGAACTTGTAAACTTCATCACTCTTAAAGTTGAAAAAACAACAACACTTGGCTCTCTTAACGGAGCGTTTAAGATATCAGCTATTAGCGAGAGGCATTTCTGAGTTGAAATGGCATCGCAGACACTTTTAGCATGTTGGAAACTGCATTTGGTGCTTTAAAACAGCACGGGACGTTGCATTAAATGCCACTTGTTCAGCACCATGGAGAGCTGCGGGCTAAGAAAGATGAATTCAGGACCACGGAGAGCAGCCGGCTTTAAATGCACAGCGGGTCTTTCTGAGTGAAGGGTAGATGTACGATCATAAGACGCAGCCTGAACGCGAGCAATAGCTCAGCTCTACGACCCTCCAGCTCATCAGGAAACACTATGGGAGTGAGAGAGACCAAAGGGAGAGCTGAAGAAATGCAGAAAGGGATAGAAAGAGAGATCTGGACAGATAAAGGTGTGTGTGTTGGAAGTGTAGTGCCAGATAGAGAAGTGCAGATAGAGAAAGACACTTGGCCTGATTCTCTCCAAGTGTCAGCAAAAGTAAAGAAACAAACTTTCAGAGTCAGCCTATAAGGTATTACGGTCCACAACAAATATGATTGGTCTTGGATTAAAGGTAAACCAAACAGAAATGCTAACTCCTTCAAACCAGTTGTCCATTATTCTGCACCAAACATTACTTTGTTTTGGCTCAACCAATGGTGTAAGTTTGGGGTGTGGCTATCTGTTTGGCTGACCAATGGCAGAGAGGTACAATGTTAAGAAAACCTGTTTGAAAATGTCATAGGTTTTCCGTTTGGTGACACGTCGGGTGAAAAACGTTTCCTTGATAGCCCAGGCAAAGTAAAATAAAACTAATTGTAAAATAATTTTTTTCAGCATAGATCATTTCTATAAGGTGTCCAGAACAACATACTAAAAGTCCTAAGAAATCCTAGATATCTATATATATATATACACACGGAAATATGTTTTATTCTCATCAATCCAAGATGTGTGCCAATAAAGACAACAATACTATTTTTTTCCTTTGCTCCTATCAAAATAAAACGTTATACAATGAAAGTATCCATGAAAAGTAAAAATATTTGTATTACAAGTTTCTTTGAAAATGAATTTTAATATGCAAATGAGCTATACACTAATCGAATGTGCCCAAAATATACCCAAATTGGATTAATTTTTTCATTGACATTTACTCCTACCACAATAAAACTTTACATAGTAAAAGTATACATGAAAAGTAAAACATTTTGTATTAGAAGTTTCTTTGAAAATGAATTTGAATATCCAAATAGCAATATACTAATCGAATATGCCCAAAATACACCCTAATGGGCTTATTTTTTCCTTTACTCCTATCACAATCTAACATCACACAGTGAAAGTATACATGAAAAGTAACATTTTTGTTTTACAAGTTAGTATCTTGTAAAACAAAAATGTTGTTAGTTTCTTGGTAAAATCTATTTTAAATATGCAAATGAGCTCAACACTAGGCCTTAGGCCACATTCATGTCCATTCAGTAAGTTAACCTATGCATAAACACAATAAATTTGAAGTCACTTGCCACACTTACCTGGGTCACTTGCCACAAAAAGACTTATATTGACCTTAAGAATTGATTGCGCAATCTTGCCTCCAGTTGCTTTCTAAATTATAATTTTTTTATTTGCAAAAAAGCCTTACCTAATGACATTCCCCCACAGATAACATCAGAAGAAAGTCAGAATAGCCATCTAAGTCATTAGTAACGTGGTAAGATTATATTTTGGGCTGGTAGATTTACAAATGATTGTTGGTAAGATTATGAGATTACTGGCAGAAGTCATTCTCCCACAGAAGACAGATGAAAAACCAGATAGACACACTTTCCAGACATTCCAGCTCTTTAAAATAATTTTGCCAGACACCAAAGCTTCTCTTTTTGTAGTTACCAAGTATTTCAGACCAGGTACTACCAAGCCAGGCAGTTTTCAGGTTAGAGGCCAGTCTAAAAGCAGCATTGCCATCATTGGCAGTAGGATGATTAGATGAAGATTGGGCGGAAGTATTTGTCATACATATGAAAGGTGTTTCTGCCTATGCAAATTAGGACATATTCAATAAGTGTGGAGCTCATGTGCATATTCAAATTCATTTCAAAAGAAACTTGTAATACAAAAAAAGTTACTTTTCATGTATACTTTTACTTTGTAAAGTTTTATTGTGGTAGGAGTAAAGGAAAAAATTAAGCAATTTTGGGTGTATTTTGGGCATATTCGATTACTGTATAGCTCATTTGATTATTATAATTCATTTTCAAAGAAACTTGTAATACAAAATTTTGTACTTTTCATGGATACTTTCATTGTGTAAAGTTTCATTTTGATAGGAGTAAAGGAAAAAAATAGCCCCATTGGGGTGTATTGTTGCCTGGCCTTATTGGATTGATGAGAATTAAACATATTTCCTCAACTAGGATTTCTTAGGACTTTTAGTATGTTGTTCTGGACACCTTATAGAAATGATCTAAGCTGCAAAAAAAGACTTTACAATTAGTCTGTCGTAAAACGCTACTTTGCCTGGACTATGAGTGGAAACTTGAATTCAACCCTACAAGTTATTTTTACAATTTCCTAGGTCACTGAAAAAACTGAACATATGCTTTGAAGTCTCAGAAAGCGGTCTTTAGAAATGTGTTGTGTTTAAAAATGCTGCTTTATGGCCAGAGCTTCTTTAAACAATAAAGTGCATCAAATTTAACATGCAATATTTGACAGATTAGTTTAAAAATACATGAAAATTGAACATATATTTTTAATAGACACACACTATATTTTCCCTACCATCATTCATTGTCTTGCTGAAGATCCCTGTGGAAGCAAAAATATATATATTAGTGACAGACCAACATCCGATTTAAATTTCATAATATGAGTTACTACATAATATTTTTTATTAAAATATGGTAGTAAGTAGCAGTGTTGCGGACATTATAATCTTTACTACATAATATACACACAAATTAAAACATATACTGTATATTTATATATATATATAGTTTTAATTTGTGTATATTAAAATTTGTGTATATGTTGTTGAATTATATATATATAATCCAACAACATTACTGATAAAGCAGCAAAAAATGATGCGTCCAATATAATGTCATTTCTCAGCTTTGTGAATGTGTCATAGCCTCTTTAAACTTGGAGTTTACAATGATAACTGCAAGTCATCAAATAAAGCTTGCCATCTTTTAGACAATTAGCATCTGCCAGTATTGCCATGTCTTCACCACAGGACCTGTAAAATTTTTATGACAGCATTCGTTTAGTGCCGACTCCATAGGGACTCGGCGGGCAGCGGCAGGGCTGCGTGTCAATTCGTAAAGCTAATCAAGCGATTTCATCATTTAACGCACATGTACTGAGACATACACGCCAACAATGAGATAGAAAGAGAAAAATGGAGTCAGACATACTGAGACAATGGTGGGAGTTTGGGGTGGCACGTGGCAGTTGCATTTTTCCGAGTTTACAATTTATCATTTCTACTAAAATTCACTGTTACATTCACCCAAAAAGGAAATTAAATTACTTCAGTCACCCTCATGTCATTCATTTTTATGTGGAACACAAAAAAAAACATTCTGAATTTTTTTTTTTTTTCTCCATACAAGTCAATGGGGTCCAGTGTGATGCTGTTTTGGACCCCATTGACTTCCATTATATGGACAAAAACAGTTGAAATATTGTGTTCTACAAAAGAAAGCAAGTCATACCGGTTTGGAATGCCATTATACAACATAACTTTTTTATGTTTGGGTAAACTAGGAGCGAACCTCTAAAAAAAAGTGAAAAGCCACCATTATCCTCAATGCATGAAGGAGCGTCTAAAGGAGCAAACACAGGTGCCACTGATGTTACAGATGAGAACAGGTGGGATAGATAACACACTTTATCAGCAAAGCTCCAGAACAGACCACATGCCACGGAGACGGATTTATCGCAAAGTCCATCAGAAGGGAAAAGGGGGAGAGAGGGTGAAAGTGAGAGGAGGAGACAGGTGGACTGGACACGGTCTCGGTTTCGGCTGGTCAAACCTGAATCGCTTGAGCTAATGCTGAATTTATTCCCCCCTCCAGTAGATTAAACTCACAGTCCGTCCCCCAGGACTTCACTCCACAACACTGGGTCTAGAGGAAATGGGTTTTTTTATCTCCATGTTTGAGCATGAGAGACGATGGCACAGGGTGTAGAAACGCTTAAGTAACCATGTTTATCTAATTTGCTGTGCCCCATTTCTGTTAAAAATTTCATATTTTCAACCAGGCATCTAAAAGCGAATAACTTCCCGGTTCATTTTGTGTGTGTGTGTGTGTGTGTGTGTGTGTGTATTTTCACCCAGCCGATGCCAGAATGTCTGCAATCCTTGCTTTAGGATTAGGATAGAGAGCAGTCAACCGATTGTCAAAAAGAAAAAAAGGTTGTAAGCAGCGTTTTCCAAAGAAATCGAGAACTTCTCATTCAAAACCATTTCAGTAAAAATGACAATTAGCAAAACTAAATAATAAAGTAATACAAATAAATGAGTAATTATATGAAATGTTATTTTAAAAAAAATGTATATTATTTTTAGTTGCTGCTAACGTTTTTGAAATTCTATATACAATAAATGTGAACGGGTCAATTCGTTTAGTAAAAATCATCATTGCACTTTATCCATTCAATTTGCATTTAGAACCGGAAGACTTCAAACCTGCAAAATTATTGAAAGATGTGAAATTCCCATAATCTGAAAACAGGCTTCTGAGGGTTATAAATGCAATAAGAATAAACATTTCCACATTCTTTCTCCCTCAAAACTACTAAAAGAATCATCGTTAAGGTATCTAAATCGTTCAAACGAATCAAAACATGCCATTACTTGTGATTCCCACTATCCCAAAGTAGTCAAAGAAGTCATTGCCATTGTAAAGGGGAACAAAGGCAAGATCATATCAAAAGGCAAAGTTAGTTTTATACTTAAACAACTGCTTATTAATATCTCAGGAAGGACTCCGGTCCATCAAAGCATCACATATCTGCGGAAGTGAATTAAAAGGTTATCTTTTATCTTAATTCGAACTCAATTGCTCATCTTTGGAGTCGCGGCTGCACTGGACTGGAGTGGCGGCGTAACCATGGTGAGAGATTAGCAGCGTGAAGTGGCCGTTCTAATGAGACGGATTAAACTTCACACATGAGGAGCTGTCTGAATTGAACCTGCTATCTTCCGCCTTCAGCGCCGACACGACAGTCTCAAGAAGAGGGAGAGAGAGAGAGAGAGAGAGAGAGAGAGAGAGAGAGAGAGAGAGAGAGAAACAGTACAAGAGCTTTTACCAACCTCGTCTAAGGGCAAGACGCAGGGGAACATAACGCTTGACAGCTAAAACACACCAGGTAGACATAATGCAAGTACTAGTCTGAGACTTGATATTGTAACTAAGAGCTATTTGAACTTCTTCAAACACATTTTGTCCAATGAATTTCCATGGCTTTTCCATTAGTACATGACTGGATTTTTAAAAGTCATTTTATGTTCACCAAAATAAAAAAATACAATAGCGGATTAAATGTTTAAGAGCCGAGCACAACTTAAAAACATTTTATAAAATTTAAACGTATTTATTATTTATTAAAAATGTACTATAGACGTTTCAGTGGCTTGACTATTTATATTAATTTAATAGAAATGTAATTGATAAAAAAAAAAAAAAAAAAATTCATGGCAGTTGGAATCAAATTTAACTTTTATTTGCGTTATTGATGCCGATATGTGCTGAAAGTAATAAACAACTATTTGTGGTACAAACAGAAATCAAGTATACTCAACTCAAAATAAATATGTTCGCTGCACAACAACTTTTTATTATCAAGAGAAAAACGATTTAAAATCATATTATTTTTCCAGCCTCGCAAATCACAATTTTAAACATTTCAAAACTTTCCTTGGCCCTGATCCTTGTTTAACTACATATCGGCATCGTTAACAAATCGCAAATAAGAGCGACGCAAACAATACTAATGGACAATTTCTGCAAACAGAAATCTACACATAATTTAAAGGATTATTTATATGTAGTTGAAACAAATAAATCTAACAAAACAAAATAAAATAACAAGTGCCAAATGTTTACAGTAAACATTTACGATTTAAGAACTTAGATCCAGAGCGGCTCAAAGTGATTAAGCTTTTGTGTGGAAAAACAAAGAGTTTACCTTTGCGTTCGGATCGTTTTTTGCGTCTTCTCTTGAACCTCCTGCGAACGAGGCAATAATACGCGCCCATGCTTTGAGAGCAGCTCTGACACTGAGCCATAGGAAATCACAGGATCTCTGTCTCTCTGGAGCGAGGGGTGAGACGGAGGGAAGGAGAGGGAGGAGGAGAGCAGGAGTGATGCTCTGTGGAGAGGGAGGGCTGACGGGACTGTTATAGGGCTGATGGTGGGATGTACCTGCTGTGAACTCGACTAGTCACTCCCTCGTGTCACTGTCAGTTCAGCTTTCAGCTTTTTTCCTTACAAGCTTAATACAGAACACCATTTACCTTCAACAGAAGTACCTGTTATTTGACCATTTTTATTATTAATAGTCACATTTTTCAATAAGAAATATGTTTTTAAGTAAGATTCATTTTTAAAAGAAATATAGTTTAATTACATTTTACTAAAATTAAAATAATTATAATAATTTATTTATTATTTACATTTAATGTTAATTAATATTATTTATTATAATAACATATACTAATATTTTATTTAATATTGTATTGATTAATTTTATTATACAATTAATGAAAAATAGTGTTAAGTAGTCATTAAATTAAATAAAACAATACAACAGTGTTCTTTTTTTAGACCATTATTTAATAAATCTTCAGTAAACATCTTTAATTTCACCAAGCTGGGGTGATTATAAAAAAATAAATAATACAATTTAAAATGACATTAAAATTAAATAAATGTAAATTAAATACACTTTTTACATAAATTAATAATAATAATAAATAAATTATTATTTACATTTAATTTTAAATACAAGGAAAAGTGATTGTATTTTATCAATTTCATTATAAAATGAATGAAAAAAGATATGGTTTCTTTGTTAACATGAACTAAGCATTAACAATACATCTACAGAATTTATTAATCCTAGTTCACGATATTTCAACATTTAATAATACATTGTTAAAATCAAAAGTTATTTTGTTAACATTAATTAATGTACTGTGAACTAACATGAACAAACAATGAATTACTGTATTTTTATTAACTAACATTAACAAAGATGAATAAATAATGTAACAAATGTATTGATCATTGTTAGTTCATGTTAATTATTACATTAACTAATGTTAAATGAGACCTTATTGTAAAGTGTTACCAAAAATATTATTTAATTTATTTTCATTAAATTAAAATGAAAATTACAATATCTTTTCAGACCATTATTCAATACATCTTTAGTAAATATTTTAAAGGTGCCCTATGTAAAAATTGAGGTAAAATTATCCAAAAAATGAGCTACACGCATCAAAAGAATGAGAAGAAATAAGTGCAATAATGTCATTAAAAAATTGACAAGTTATAGTGCTGCCGAGATATAAACCTAAATTAGCATGCTAAATTACTAGCGCCGGCCCGACTGGTGTCGTAATACCAGTTTCGGCCATGGGAGGCGGTATGCGGGCAACATACATAACCACCAGCCAAACTGCAGTACACGAATAACTCGCACGGCTTGTGGGCGTACTTGAACCTGATGTCAATCGCGTCTATATGAGACCGGGCATTTATAATTTAGTGTTGAGATGTTGTTCATTGAGTCTCTAATCTCTTAAAATATCCAAATGAACTGCGGCCTTACTATCGTGTCAATTGATTTGATTAATATGCGCGAGGGAGAGAGAGAGCAGGAGGACTGCGCTCGTGTTGTTTGAAGATGTGAGAGTGCGCGCGCGCGGCCGGGGCGCTCTCTCTCTCTCTCTGCTCGTTATGCGCCCTGTCAAGCGCAGCAGTCATTATATTCTACATCACTCACCGATCAAAATAGGCTTAGTTTGGCGGGACAAAGCGGACGATTTGACGGTTTTTAGAAGATTAACAAACCGAAACTAAAAAACAGACTAGAGTAGGCCAACTTTCTGGAGGTATACTGCCCCCATCTGGTATGGAATATGCGGAATATGAATTTTATTTTTTGGCAGACATTCCACATGGCACCTTTAAATTTAACCAAGCAATTTTTATTTATTTAAATTAAATATACTTTTACATAAATAAAAATAATAATAACTTATTATTGACATTTTAGATTAATTTAATCAAAAATTATTGTATTATTCAATTGTATTATAAAATGAATGAAAAATAGTATTGAGTAAAGTAATGAAAAATTAATAGATTAATAGCATGGGGGGGGGGGGGGGGTTGGCCTTTTTAAAGTTTCTAAGATATTAATTTGGATTTGTGTGTAAAAAAACAAAAAATCCCTGAAGAACAGAGAAAAGCGTTCTTATACTAAATGCTGAAGGTTCTTGCAAATACAGTCAAATAATTCAGTCTCTGATGTGTACACAAAGAGCAGTAGAAACTCGATCCACAGACACATTTTAAGGCAGAACGAGAGTAAAAGGTGAAGTCGGAATACCTACAAACTCAGTGCGATTAGCAACCCTCTGCCTCCCTCTGGTGGACATTCACTAAAACGCACCACAATTGATATCTGACACGCAGCCACAAACAGGATTACCTCCACTCAACTCACCAACAAATGCAACGTATAGAAACCAGGTAGCCTAATCAGAGCGGCAGATTACTGTATATTTTGCATATGAAGTTGTATAAACACATGAAACCCACCTGTACGTTTGCCCTCCTTTTCTGTACAAGCCAACCTGTAACAAAAGCACAGAGATATCAGCATGTTGACGGTACAGCATTTTTTTCATTACAGTTGAGGTTGACATTGACTTCCATAGTAGAAACAAAATACTATGGAAGTCAATGGCTACCGTCAACTGTCTGGTTTCCAACATTCTTCAAAACATCTTCTTTTGTGTTCAACAGAAGAAAGAAACTCATACAGGTTTTGTACAACTTGAGGGTGAGTAAATGATGACAGAACTTAAATTTTTGGACGAATTATCACTTTAAAGGGATACTCCACTTTTTTTGGAAATAGGCTCATTTTACAACTCCCCCAGAGTTAAACTGTTGAGTTTTACCGTTTTTGAATCCATTCAGCCGATCTCCGGTTCTGGCGGTACCACTTTTATCATAGCTTAGCATGCATCATTGAAGTGGACAAGACCATTAGCATTTCTAAAAAAAAAAATGACCAAAGAGTTTCGATATTTTTCCTATTTAAAACTTGACTCTTCTGTGGAGTATCCCTTTAAGATAGTGGTTCTCAACGGGGGCGGTACCGCCCCCCAGGGGGCGTTCAGAGAACAACGGGGGGCGTTAGACGCAAGAGTCTTGAAAGGGGGGCGTTCAGGTGTTAATGGGGGGCGTTCACGAGTAACGGAAATTTGTGTTCATTTACTGTGATTCATTTTAAGCATTTAGTCATTTATTTGTAATAAACACTTTAAGTGGGCTATTAAAAAAGTGTTAGGACCATATATGTTAAATGATGTTGTAAAACATATGCGTAGATTGTGATGTCATATTGTGTGTGCGCGCACGCCTATGGTGCGCGTGAAAGAAAACGTCAGCAGCGCTCAAATAAAAAAAGAAAATCATTCGTCCGCGGCCGTTCTAGCCTACTCCTGACCGCAAGTCCACCGTCAGTATACTAGCAGGTTTTTTGTGTTCATTTCTATTGCATTACGATTGAAAGCATTATCAATAATGTCAAAAATATAATGTGCAGTCAAGTTCGGGTGTGAATGCTGTTTAAATGAGTGTTCTCACCGACACGCTTGTTGTGATTCTTCTTCCAGTTTAATGTACATGTAGCCTAAGCTATGTATCGTTACTTTTGCAACGACTATATTATTTTTCCAGTTATAGACCAGCGCTCTGACTAGAATCCAGCGCTGGCTAGAATCTGCATTCACGCGCTCAAACATGTGTTTCGCGCTGACAACAATCCAGCGGTGGCTAGAGTCACGCAGCGGAGGAATGGAAAGTTGACATGCCATTAAAAAGTATTGACTTAAGTATTGAAACACTTCTATTTTTTCAAATATTTTCAATAAATCATGTTCCCATTTACTCCGGCGACGAATTTCAAAATTAAACTAAATTCTATTTATAAGGTAAAACTTTAAATTTTTTAGGCATTAACTAATTCCAATGCCTAATGCCAAAATGTTTTCTTTGTTCACCAAGTAATTTACTGGTCAGGCATTATTGTTAACTCAATTTGAAAATGACAATTTGATGGATAATTTTTATATTATATTAATATTTAAATATATTCTGCAATCACATTTTGGTAATGTAGGCTATTCATTCCGCCATCACATCTGAGAGCGAAACGCTGCTTGGGTAACGTTAGTTTCAAGATATAAAAACAATTAATAATACAATAATAATTGAATTGTTCGTGTGTTTATTCTTGTTAGAAGATTTTTCTTTTTACTGATTATGAAAACAAATTAATCACGACAAACCACATTAATTGTAATTGTATTAATTATACCTGATACCAAGGTATTTTAGGCCTACAATTTTAACATAATTTTTCATGAAAAATCATGATTGTATATTTATTTTTAAGTAAGGTTAATGTAAGCAGCTTCTTGCAATACTCTCCTAAATGCTAATAAAATCTACGTGCAAACATTACCGCTTTAATGACTGTCCTTTATTTTTCAGTGCATTTGTTTTATAATATATGGCTATTTATGTCATGGGATTAATATAATATAACTATTATTATGTAGTAGTGTAATGTAGACAAACACAACTAAAAGAGGTTTGAATTTTTCTTTGTTTAATTTGCACACTGAATATGGGTTGGAGCTTTTAATTTTGAACTCTCAAAGTGCACCAGATTGATGCATTTAACATTAAAATGCACACATTTTTCTTACGGGGGGCTTGCCCCCCGAACCCCCCTAGAAGGCCCGAGGTTCACCCACCACAGATTTACCAAAAATCCTGTGAGAAACACTGCTATTGCTATTCAATGCAGTTTATAGCTTGTTTTTTGGATTAATCGCTGTGGAGTATAGTTCGATTGTATTAATAAATGACAATTTTGTACTTATTTCATCTGTTACTCGTTCCTGCTCGCTCATTAGTTTGGGGGTGGGGGGCGGTCGGGGACCTGGATATTGGATAGGGGGCGCTGGCCCAAAAAAGGTTGA